GGTTTTCACTTAAAATTTCATATTTTTCTTATAACTGACCAATAATGAATTCTACAATAGAATACATGGCACTTCCATCGCATTTCATTAACTCTTTATTAACAAAATTAATCAATTTGCTTAATTAAATTCAATAAATTTCTTTGACTTTCAATTTTTTCAATTTTTTCAATGAAATTCATTAACGCAAGGACATATGAAACACTATGCATAGCATACAGAAATTTGTTTATAACGTACAACATATATTACGTCTTACGTATTAAAATTATCATATCAAAAAGGAATAATAGAAACTTAGTTTCTATTTTGTTTTAACACATGTACTAAACATTCGAATTACAATATAAATTTGTAAAAATATTATTATAAAGAATTACTTACTAATGCTGCGATCAGTGCTATCGACGTGGCCGCCCCGTAAACAATAAAAGATTCGAGTATAAACTGTGCAGCTAGAATAATTTCATAACACGGTGAGTCAGTGGCAGAAAATGGAAATTCCATTCTAATCAAAAACATCCTTCGTTTTGGCTCTGAAGAATCCTGATCTTCGTCTAATTGTGCTAAAGCGAGCCCTGTATATAGAAGGAATGTGATCCCGAAATAACCGATTAAGAAATTCGTAATGCGAGAGGACAGCATAACCTTATCCACAATTATTCGCTTATTTTCAATGGTAGAATTATCGTTATTCCAGTCTTCGAACATGGTTGCCAGGATTTCGTAAAACATTCTGTTCCAAAATAATTTTTTCCTTTCAATTAAATGTATAAAATATTTACTGAAAATTCAATGTTATTAAACGCTCATCAAATACCAATGGTCATGTAAACTGATTCGGCGACAATCACGCCATTTTGCTATTGATTAATAAAGTTCAACGCAATATTGACTTTATTCCGGTTCTTTTCCCATTTACTAGTCAAATATTTATGTCTTACCGCTTCTGGACCCAAATGACAATCAACTTGAGGAACACGAGCGAATTCGATAATGTAAGGCTCAATCCATCTAGTAATTCGATTAAACTCAACGTCATGTGAGTGATGCAATACCAATATTGGAATACCAGAAACGGTAATATTATTATGGTCCAAATGATGGTTTTCAATGTCTGATAGGAAGAATCTGGCCAGATTCCGAATAGGCGTAGACTGTATTCCAATAGACGATTGATTATAGTCATCGCGGTCATCGATAGCAAATTTTGCTTCTCATTATGATAATCAGAATAGAACGGTAGTTTAATAGCTTGACACAGCTGCAATCGTAATGATTTTTAAATATAGGACAATAAAACGCGATACAAAAGTTATGCTAATATTAAAATATTATTTGAATATACCTAACAGTCGGAGAGCCGCATCAAAGACCGTGCAGTTTCGATACCTCGAAGACTATGTTTAAGTGGAAGCTTTACATCAACCTTCGTTTAATATTTTCGACAACTTCAGTAATCTCTCCTGCGATTTTAATTACGAACATCGAAACTGGTCGAGATAATGAGCTTTTTCTTAAATGGTGACACGATAATAGAGGTTTAACGAAAATCGGTTCTACCCGTACGTCTAACCTGCGTGGCGGAGTTACATGTTGCACAGTTGAATGTCCACTGTGTACTAAGATTTTCCCAATGTGCTTATCGATCAGATGAAATTACCAGGGTATTATTACGCGAGTAATGTCGGAGTAAAAGGATAAATGCTGGTCTACTTATTATCAGCAATTGCGACACGAGAAAAAAAGGAGTCTACTGCATTTGTAATTGTAGTGTACAGCAAGATTACTTCTTGCTTGTATTTCTGATATCTTTTGAGTCAGTTTTTTTCTCAGCTTTAAAACAAAATTATTGTGATAGTACAGAATTTACACAATGAATCAAGAAAAATTTATCAAAAAATACACAAGGCGATTTGAATTCTCGTGTCAAGCATAAATTAATTCTAATTAAATTTTTCCCTAAATTTGTATGTTGTAATGCACGATTTATTGAAAGATTGGTGTGGTTGCACGATAATCTCATACAATTGTACTTAAACTTCATCTCCAAAAATTTTGGATATTTTAAATTTATGTTGAAGTTGAAAATTCGAGCGTTTCATACCACATGGCTTGAAACTGGCCATGAATTTTCTCTTTAGATATTTACAATATTTCCTTTTCTTGGTTTAATTCTCATAATTCTGGACGGATAATTAATCTCTATAATATGTGATTTTATTCGAATTTTGGAAATACATTTTTATACACGGTGGACCATGTAACGTGACCATTTTCGATTATCTTCGATCATCTAGTTATTAGAAAAACAGTAAAAAAGTATTTTGTCGTGAATGCTGCAATGTGAGAGAGGAATGAGAAGATGATACTTCATTTTTGTTGTGGTAACTGTGTCATTAAAAACTGGAAAAATCAACTTATTAAAAACAAGAATGTATAAAGTGATCCACCCTGTGTATTATTTTCTCTGATTTTGCTTCTAGTTTCGTTTAGTATTAAATATTTTCACGAAAGATCGTAATGGTCGTCGTTACGAAATCAAGGACGCCATCAAACAATAATTAATAACTAATTAATTCGTATCTAATTATGTACGAAAATTACACAAGAATGTTGCCTAAAATTTCAGCTTCGCAACAAAATTATAAAAGTTCATAAATTAATTACGGAAATTGAGTTATTTATTAACTTTTCACTGTCGGAGCCCTTTTATCATTTTCTATCCCCTCACTGTCCTTGTCTGTCACGTGACGAGCTCTTCGACGACCTCCACGCCTGTTCTATGTTCCTATTACTTTTCCGAGCATACGGTCCAAAATCATAGATGGCGCTGATTGCAGGCGATAAAATTTTTATTCGAACTAGATACCTCTTCTGGTTATGTGCTCTTAATACATCTTAATAGATCAATTCGGCAGTAGAAAATTAATAAATTTCCAAGTTTTTGTAATTAATTCATAAACATTTATAGCTGCTTAGCGAACTTGAAATTATAGGCAACATTCTTATACAATGTTTAATTTAATAATTAATACTTACACGAGCGATAGGTTTTGTATTTCCTGTATCTAATGATTATTTATATTTTCGTGTTCTTTTTGTGGTAAATAAGATTGCTATAGAAAACTGTTTTTCTTGCATAGTATTCTTATTATTTTATAATAAATATATACTAGCATAAGAAAGCATAGAAAATAAATCTTTTTATTAAGAAATTACAAACGTTTATTTACAAAATAAAGTTACAATTACATACCAAACTATGGGGACGGAAATCGAACCACGGTCCTTCAGCATATGAATTTTCAACTATCGCCGTTAGGCCACGATTCTATTTGTAAAATATTGGAAATAAATGAATAATTATGGTAGTAATAAAACTTTAATCGTAAATATTTTAAAAACTATCGAGTAATTGCCGCTATAATGATATATTTTCTTAAACTGCATGACGATATCTACCAACCTGCAAAATTTCAACTAAATCGGTGACCCGAAGGACTTGCACTCTCCTTGTTAGAACGAAAGTGACCGCGTGCAAAGGGGATCGAGTGTAAGGGATGTTTGTGACAGAGCCGAATGCAAGTAAAAAGTGAAAGCTTAGGAATGCGTTTGAGTGTTTAGGATACGTGACCCACCGATTAAGAAAAAGAACATAAGTATGAAAGAAAACAGAGTGCAAAGTCTAACACGTTAAGTGCCAAGCTTGTTTTGCTTGCCGTTCCGTTCAGGCCCAGACTCGGCTGTCAAGTGGGCTACCGGCGACGGGCCAAGTGTTCATAAAACTCGGAAATATTGTACCAATTGTTATAACAGGAATTCCCAAACGTTAGATCCAAAGATGGCGAAGAATTTAACACCAAAAGTTAGCACCTTTTGATCCTAGTCTGGACCGGTCCTTGAGGATGTCTAGTGCCGGTCCCTGGGGACCGGCTTGGTAATTAACATGTTAACCACTTGCGCTACGATTTAACTTTCGGTTGCCATGTCGCGTTCTACAATATAACATGCGGTAAGGCGTTACATTGACGCTGCACCGCGTCTACGAGCTAACTGTTAACCGACGTGACGGACACGTTGTTTTTGTTTCCACGACAAATGCCTATCGACGTGGTATACACGTCGCTGGCAGCTTTGGAACAAAAGCATCTCGACGTGCTTGGCACGTCTTTATAGCGCAAATGGTTAAATAAGAGTGCAAGGACGCGGAAAAGTCAGAGTGTATTTTAGAGCCAGTCATAGAGTTTCTGGGAGATAGCGAGAGTTATTAGCGCTTAGAATAAGTTTTAGTTTAAAATAAATCATTTTTATATCTACATCACTGCTTATTCTGTTGCCTACCCAACATTCCTACAATAATGTATAATAAAGTGCATTAAACTAATATGCAGTAAAATAGCACATAATAAAAAATATACAAAATTAGGAATAGTCGTGATTGTAAAATCTAAATTACTTAAACTTCGATACTCTTAATAAACTTCTAAAATGAATTGTAGAAGTCAAAATTTTTATTGATATACATTTAATATACATTTATTCACATAGTATTGGTCTTTACGAGTGTACAAACTTCGTTCCCATGACTAGTACATCGTAATTATTTATTTCACCTCATGGTAAGTATCGAGATGTACGAAGCCGCAGCTTTTAACATCTAAAAAGTTAAATATCAATTTTATTGTAAATGAACTTGGAACTTAAAAAGGATAAATGAATTAAGTGGTGCATAACATATATAAAAATAACTTGTCCGCAACGAAGATCGACTATAATAATATCGATTACAAATATTTTTTTGCACAATCTTAAACATTACAAAGTTCCTAATATTAATTTCCAACAACTCATATTAAATATTTAATGATTAATATAATATATAATATAATATAATATGTAATAATTATTATATAACAATAATACTAAATCACCAAAAATTTGTTTTAAATATTCAGAAATTATTCAGTAATCAATGTGTAAAAAAGTAAATTTCTACCCTAATTATTATAATTATCGTAGATAATGCTACTTCTCTGTAATCGTACATTAGCAAAAGTTTCCACGCTAAGTGTCACAAACTTCCCGGCTGTAAGTGTCAACTGCTTTTGAGACCTCATAGCATCAGTAGTACTATTCGATTATCCTGTCTATCTAATTTATACCAAAGTATATTGTATAGTGCTTGACTAATATTTTCACTCTAGAAATTAACAGTGAAAAAAGATTAAAAAGTATAACGAACTCTGAACTCTTTACACCTATATTAGGAGTAAAAAATATACAATTCTCAAAAGTAACACATTATTTATAAATAATGAATACTTCTGTATATAATATTTATGCAATAAATATGGGTGTTTTAATAAATACGTATTGAAAGTGATAAATAGAAACAATAAATAAATTAATATATTTAATAGGACTATAGTTAAATTGTAATTCTATGTAAAATACAGCACGTTTCATAATAATGATAATTTTTACTCGACTCTATGACTAATCTTAAACAAATCTTATCTCTATGAATCCCTACGAAATTTTTTATTAACTTTAACTCCTTCCGAAATTAATATGTTGTAAAGAAGTGAATAAATGGGATGTTTATTACGTAGAACTGTAAAAAACAAGGACAATAATCTATAGAAATAATATCGGAGAAAGAAGAATTAATTCCGGAGGAAAAAGAAGGAAGTGCCACGAGTGGAGATCAAGCGAACTACGTGCGCAAGAAGAGTGAACAGTTCAGTCGGTAAAGTAGAGACGGAAAAAATGGAACAAAAGGAAAATCAACGATATTTGAAAAGACGAAGTAACAGTCAGGATGAATCGGTAATTCCCTAAGGTAATTACAATTAAAAAAGAAAGGATAATTAACACGAGTCACATTAGAGGAAAGTTAAATGAAAAATAGCTGATAAAATACATGTTTAGAAAAACGGAAAAACTTTGGAGGAGAAAATAATTAAAATGGAAGGAAGAATATTAATGAGTATTTAAAATCACGAAGGAAATGTCGATAACACTTTCTTCTTTCGATTTCCATGATTTTTGAGTACGTTATAGAAATTAAGTACTTACGATTTAGGACTTATTCGGAAGGACCTATTTGTCAAAATCCTATTTCGAGGCATTCAAATTTGAAACTTTCTTTTGTTCACTGAATCATTATATCAAAGCTTCATTGACAAGTTAACCAAATTAGAGATGAAATAGAAAATTTGAAAATAGATTTAAGAAGGAAAAAGAGACGAGAATTAAAAAAAGAACGCATAAATAACCGATTGCAGAAAATGAAAGAAAAACAAAAAGATGAAGGTAATGGTAATTACAAAAATCATGAAAAATGAAACAAAATTAAATATAGTTATTTTACAGGATATTATACGAATTGTACAATATTCATTTATTACGTCTAATCACCCTTTTGAATAATCTATAATTCTGGAACACCCTGTGTATACGTATACTGCTACATAGAATATACAGGATGTCCCAACAACGGTAGTACAACCGGCAATCGGGTGATTCTAAATGCAGGAACAAATCGAAAGAAAAGAATAAAATTTTTTTCTTCGAAGCTTCGTTGTCGAGAAAATCGACTTTGAATATTTCCCGAGTGCGCGTGCACTTAACTTTGGTTATATGAATAGACTATCGATACATGAGTATCGATGGTACAATTGAGGACGGGGTAATTCTACGTGAAAAAGCAAATCAAAAGTGAAGAATAAAATTTTCTCATTCGAAGCTTCGTTTTCTAGAAAATCGACTTTGAATATTCACTGAGGGCACTGATTCCCCTTTAGCTAGTTAAGTGCACGCATACCCGGTGAATATTCAAAGTGGATTTTCTCGAAAACGAAGCTTCGAATGAAAAAATTTTATTCTTTATTTTCGATTTGTTTTTTCATGTAGAATTACCCCGTACTCGTTTGTATCACCGATGCTGAAGTATCGATAATTCATACATGTAAACCATAATTGCGTGCACGTGTACTCGATGAATATTCAAAGTGGATTTTCTCGAAAACGAAGCTTCGAATCAAAAAATTTTATTCTTTATTTTCGATTCGTTTTTGTGTGTAGAATCGCCTCCTCCTCGGCTGTACTACCGTTGCTGGGATACCTTGTATATAATTCAGGAATTTATCGAATGGTTTAATTAATATCAAAATGCACAAAGATGAAAATATTTTTATGATTATGTGTCTGATGTGAGTATCTTTAATTTAAATTAAAAATTTTTTAACTAAAAGATATATTAAAATACATATATATAATAATTTTACCTTAGATGTAAGGTATTGTCCAGTATAACAGAACAAACGCTTCGCAATTCATAGCGATGTAATAGGTAAGACATTTTATCCATACTTTAGGCCCTTCGTCGGTACCCAAAGACTGAAATATTAGTCATAACGAATTATGAGATGTGCGTAAAAAAATTTTTATATTTTTCAAAAATATCTGAAATAAATTAGGTTGAATCAACAAACGACTATGAAAATGAATCCTAGAAAACAGATCACCACAATATTTGTAAAGAATTGCACCAGTGATGTATATAGAAATAAATATTTAATGTCTTCAGATAAATGTATAATTCTTTGATGCTTAACAGTAATATTTTTCAACATATACGTTACTCTCCTTCCAGAGTGATGTGATATGTTCATAAGTTCATGTCACGCTATATCAATTTGACTACCTACGTGCAGTACCTAACAATTAGAAGGTTGTACCTGCTGTTTTAAAAATTCTTTTGTACACGAAACTTTTGTATTCTTTATATTTCGATAAATTTTGAAAACTTCACATGTATGCACAATGCAATTGTTTCTAAAATAAATTTCTAAAATAATTTCTAAAATAATTTTGAAAAGTAAGCATTTCATAGAGTATTATAAAAATTTACTTAACTAAAAATTGTTTGGAAAAAAGGTTACAAGTGCGATACAAGCTCTCAAAAAAAACTTCGTTATTTCATCACAATAATTTCAAAAATTTATTAAACATTAAAACTTCCAAAGTAATGAAAATGACTAGTTTCGGATATTTTATTTTCACTAAAAGCATGCAGTTACTTTTGATAAAATTAATGTTCATTTTTAACCTAGTAGAAATATCATTAATATATGTAAACATATCATTTAAATTTTCAATTTCATCATATCATTTCAATTATTATCATCTGCATATATTTACCTACGAATTACAAATTGATAATTCTAGTGTTAATTAAATTTTTTCTTATATAAAAATCTTATTATTTAAAAAATGTAAAAAGTTAGTAAAAAGAAGGTTAGGTTAATTCTACACAGGGATTTATAGATATAAAAAGATTAAATCATTGATCACACTATGCACTTGTAATAGATAACGAGCAACTCACTAATGCTGCAGAAAATGCCATTAACATGGCGGCCGTAAATGCTATGGAATATTCAAATGCAAATTGCGCAATTGTAATGAACTCGTACAATGGAAAAATCGTGAAGTCGAAAGGAAATTTCATTTTAAGCAACATTTTCTTCTCGTTTGAATTCCACTCTTTGTCCTTATCGTCATCGATAAACACAGTGGTTATCAAGTATAGGAGACACGTCATCGAATAAATAAATACCAAAAAATTCGAAATACGAGAACATGTGTGAAAGTTCTGCATCATATACTGTTTATTTCGATCCACGAAAGCACGATTATTCCAAACCTCGAACACCGATGTTAGAACGTTATGAAGTGTCCTGCATAAAGTAATTTTCATAATCGTTAGTATTTGCTGAATTTTAATCAAATATTTCAGTGCAAAGGAAACACTGAGATCCGCTACTTAAAAATTTCAACTCGTATCGCGAAAAATTTAACAAACAGCCATCAATGCTTAAAAAATAAATATTCCTTAACGTGACACGCTATGTAAATATAAAGATAATCGTGAAACATATTTCTCGTAAGAGAAACTAAGAATAATCGAGGATTTTCGATAACAAAGCTATTAATCCTTTGCACTCGACGACTTTTTACTAAAGAAATGTGGAAATTCAAAGATTCTCTGTTAAAAAACTGACAATGCTTTTTTGAGCAGTAAATAAAGAATTGTATAAAAATAGAATTGTAGAATTATTTGATTTCGATACCTCGCACACTGTTACATTACATTAAATTTCATATATTAATTGATATCGATCTTCCAAATTTGATGAAATGGTGACTAAAGGTCACCTCTCGAGTGTAAAGAGTTAATACATAAAGAAGTAACGGAACAAATTTCATTTCGATATCGTTAAACAATTCGCAAGAACAAATAATCGTTTATTTTCAAAAATGGAAAATAGTCATAAAGTACGTCTTACCGATAATTAAACCATAAAATGATCAATTTAGTGAACATAACCGTATTCGATACAGCCACACTTAATCCGTCTAATAGGTCGGATAGCTTTGCTGTTTTAAAATAAGAAATACAATACCAAAACTGGAATGTTACACTGATACCCATTACGATTGTCCAAAAAACGTTGAAAAATTCTATACGAAGAGTTTGGCCAAATCCCGATCAAACGGAGGCAAATTTCTATAGGATAGGTAATCATGGTTTACAATTTCCTTGATACTGAAAATTTTCTTAATACTTCACAGATTCAGAAGCGAGAGGCTTAGCTTTGATCTTGAAAATACTAATGCGACGCGCATGTATGTCATGTTACATCGAAGACGTCTGTTTCGTGTTTACCCTCTTATACAGGGCACAAATATACCGTCGAATAATCTGTTCTATATTGGCCAGTCTTTCTTTTCGAATGACGCATTAATTTTCCACGACCTCTACAAGCAATTAATAATAATCAAAGCTCTTTTCGCTTATTAAAAGTTCAATTGAAAGTTTTTGCTTACATACCAATTATCTGTATCGTCATATTTGTTATTATCTAACACAATATTCAGTCGGGTGGTAATACCGATATTATACATCCACCACTCGTTCCCTTTCTTCATATCGTGTTTTCCATGTTCCATTTTCTGCCTTACAAGTCCTATTGAACAGCGCAGCTTGAATACGCATCATGTCTAGATCCTTCGTTCTCTATATACGTATATTCTGGATGAAGTGAAAAGTGCTGAGGTGATATTTCATATGTGCGTGTACTAGTAAATTTGCAATTATTTGCACTTATATTATATTACACATTTTTAGTATTACTCTTCAATTTTAACCCTTCGGTCGCTATTTTATAAAATTTGAAAGATCGATATTAATTAATATATCAAATTTAATGCAATGTAACAGCGTGCGAGGTACCGAAATCAAATAATTCTACAATTCTATTATTATACAATTCTGTCACGTCGCGTCGCGATCTAAACTCTCGTGTTTCCGACGGGTTGTACGGCCGTCTCGCGACTACGACACGTGTTGCCCGCCAAATGAATATTGGGCAACTATTTAAGTTGCACGAGCAGAAAAGCGTCGCCTCTACGACGGTCCACGTTTCGAAAAGAACCGTGGCGTGTTGCTGATTCGAAGAGAACTGTTTTCAAGAGAACCGATGTCTTTGAGAGCTCGTTCGGAAGTGTCTTTGACCAAGGGCGATCCCTTGGTCCGCGAATCCGTTACCTTGGAGTGAGGGAAGGTTCCCCCGAAAAACCACGATAATGGAGGAAACCCTCTGCTCCAAGGTGGGGTACCTGGGGTTCACCCGCGCGCCGGTGACTCCATCGGCCGTTTGTTACCCCTAGCGAGGGCCTGAGGCTTCCAACGTGTGCGGACCACGTGGAGCCCTCAGGCCTATTGTCAGCCAAGTCTTAAGAGCCGTCGCCTAATTTCGTTAAATTAGGGATTTCCAGGATTCTCGTGTTCCGCGACACGAGAAGTCAAAGGAAAAAAGGTAAAGCAGTCAAACATGCTGAAAGCATGGAGCGGGAAATTCCGATGCCGAATTGTTCGACCCTAAGACCTGGCTGTTGGAAGACCGTAACGAGTCTTCTTTGTTCCACGACGGAACAAATCCTGTATTTACTACTCAAAAAAGTATTGTCAGTTTTTTAGTAGAGAATCTTTGAATTTCTACTCTTCTCTAGCCAAAAGTCGTCGAGTGCAAAGGGTTAATAATTGTTCGTATGTATATTCATTTTACTATATTGGAGCACGGATTTCTATATACAATACGGGTTCTAGCAACAAAGCTACGTCGCAAAGATACAAGTCAGCGGAGAGGAAGAAACTGGCTTTTCGCAAATTTTGTAGGTGCTTATATAATGTTAGTTTTTGGTGGATTGAAGATGATCATTAGTGAAAGTAGGAATGAGGCAGTTGTTTTTGGAGTCTGAAATTGGTCTGCGTTTATTAGCTAGGCCCTTCAAGTGACTAAGGGCTAACGAATCGTTAGTCATCCAACAATATAATATAATATTGTTACATTGCATGATATTATATAATTTTCGAAATTGGTCAAATTCGAATTTTTCACGCACTAGTACACTTCCAAATATATTATACTATAATATATTGTATAATTTAGAAATAAACATTTCGCTGTTATTATAAAATAACTAAAATTAAAACGCGTAACAGTAACATAATTTATTTATTATCAAATATCGTTACATATTATAATAATAAAATAATTTCGTATTTCCACACAAGGGTAATATATACATATGTAAAAACTATTTTAGATTTATTTCAAAATTTTATCATATTTGCAATTTCCTTCATTACTGTGCAATTTAAAAATGCACAGCGCGTACGTCTATGTGTATGCACGTTAAATTAATTAAGTGCATAAGGAGAAAATTAGATGGAAAATTAATTGAAATATCATGTACAATGACAGCGGTGGAAATTCATTGCCTCGTAAATGTGCATTGATCAGTCATAACGAAAATAAAAATATATCGAGTCGACGTCTGTTGCGTCCCGGACACTGCAACCCTCACATTCGGAGTTTTTCGGGGTAGTAAGGCCTGTTACAGGGATGTGGCCTACTCTAAATTAATTGAGCTAAACCTGGCCAGGGTTGAACTATATAATTCTGATGCAGGACTCTTCTCTGGCGTTGAGTTTGATCGTGGTGGGTTTGTCTCGACTGATTTGAGGTAGAACTCCCCATTCGACTTCTGTTTCGGTGGTTTTATAAATTCGTATGTATTTTGTTTGGTTGGTACGAAATGCAAGAGGTGGGTGTGTGTTTTTCTATTGGCTGTGAATAATGTTAGGGGTGTGTATCGGCTTCGACGTATTTCAGTGGTGGTGGATCTTTAAACAAATTGGGTCTTAGGCCCATAGTCTCAAGGGTGATTTGACCCTTCCTAAGGTTAACCCAAGTGGTGGCCTGGTGACAACGAGTGTCCACGAGTGTCCACGAGTCAAGGGATGCTGACAGTAAGGAAATAAAGCAGCCCCCATTTGATTTGGGACGTTCGGTCTCAGGGACGCAACATTGTCCACGGTCAATGAATTTTATCTTCGAAATGAATTCCATTTCGTTACTTTGAACACGGATAATTTTGCATTGATACTTTGCATTGCATCACAAATTGATCTCGTTGTGATCTCATTGTGGCCTCGTTCTTCTTATAATAAATTGAAACTAAAAGTGACCTTAAGGATCGATATATGTATCAAATTGATATATTAAATAATCACATTTTAATTGATGGAATGCAACGATCATCTGCACTGTTTACGTTAACGTGTAATTGAACTTAACTTAATAAAGTACTTGAATGATGGTATTCGTGAACTACATAGAGATTAGTACTGTTTTTGTCTTTTGTTAATGGTTATTACTGATAGTTGAGAAATAATTGTTTTCAACATAGACTATATACTACGTAGTCTGTGCCTACTTGCAAGGCTCACTAGCGCCACCACTTAAGTTAAATTCAACGGTTAATTCGTCTCATCTATGTTCTGTTATTCGATCCATAAAATATAAAAAGACTCGATACATTTGATAACACAAATAATAATTAAAATTAATATAGCTTGCAATATTGCGGGTAAGACTAGTATAGAAAATTTAAGAATAATCAATCCTAAATCTTGTCTTTAATTCCATCCATATCCAAGTTCAAATTAATTTGGAAACCGTGGTGACTAGGTATATTTTTATTTCGATATTGATGCCAGTTTTCGAATAGAAAAATATAATCAAATTTTTTCCAACACGCCTTGTGCATTTATAGAAATAATAAAAATGTTATTTGTGCTTTATCTTTCTACTTTATACCGGTGGAAAAATATCATACCTTAATCACTGTATCCGTAAAAAATTCCATTCTATTCTCTTTATTCGCAAAATATTTTCGTTTTAGTGAAAAAGTTATTGAAAGCCTTCTTTCAATACTTTATACACGTGTTTATAGTTTTACTTATGCGTAAATATGTAAGATATAGTCTTTCATCGATAGAAATTCAAAAAATATTTCGCCCGACAATAAATGTCAAGCTACTAAAATATAATATTTATTTGCTTCCCACATTAAATACCATAACAATAAATGTAAGAACTACATTTATACAAATTTTGATAGTTTATCCTAATAATTAAAATATCTCTCATCTACGAAATTTGTACTCGTAGGAAATCTCTAAATTCAACAGCTCGTTGCATGTTACCATATTAATTCATCATTTCTACGTAGCATAGAATAAAGACCAGTGTTTACAAATTAAAAATTTCGAAATTGCACATTTATCGTTAATTACAAATACGTTTAAAAATGTATATAAAAATATCGTATCCTCATATTGTGTTATAAAAATTTCAGAAAATGTATATTATTAATTATCCAGGTTTACTTTACATTCCATTATAGGCTGGACCACCTCCACCTTCTGGTACGACCCAATTAATGTTCTGACTTGGGTCCTTAATGTCACAGGTTTTGCAATGAATACAATTTTGAGCATTGATTTGCAACCTCTCTCCCTCTCCAGATTCTAGTGGCACAAATTCGTATACACCTAAAACATATAATAATTAAAGAACAATTAACACCTTTTATTCTGCAAATATCTGTTGTATTACAAGAAGCACAATATATTTGTACTAGTACAATATAATTTGATAATTTGACAAGTTCAAGATATATTACATCTGTAATATAGTCATTGTAATACAATTTTATCTGTGATAAAAAATGATTATGCTTAATATATTAACGTAATTTATTCGCGAATTGTTTAAGTTCTCTTTGTGAAATATAAGTATAATTATCAAATTTGAATTCTTTCTGTGAAATATAAGTATAAGTATAATTAAATATAATTCGCAACAGCTATCGTATAACACATTCATGATCAGAGCCACGTCTATTCACGAGTATGGCTGGATTATCACAATTTTACTGTACTTTGTCATACCCAAATCTATGTAGGCGACAAGAAGTGCAACAAAAAAATGTTCATATTAGAAAACTTTCCGAACTCTCGAACTCGTTTCTTAACCCATTTGCATCCAAGCGCGGAATATTCCGCGAGCCACGACTGTCGTCTATCACCGATCGCGGAATATTCCGCGAGCTACGACTGTCGCCTATCACCGAGTGCGGAATATTCCGCGAGCCACAACTGTCGTCTATCACCAAGCGCGGAATATTCCGCGAGCTACGACTGTCGCCTATCACCGAGAGCGGAATAATCCGCGAGCTGACTTTTTCCATTACCAGTTGCTGAATATTCTTCATATGCCACAGATCACGTTTGATCCCTTTTGTGAGCATCTCATCTATATCGGTTAATTATATTCTTAACAAGTTTTACTTTTGTCGTGAAAATCCTTTTAACTGCCATTATGTGTAGGTGCTGATACGCGCGCAGTGATACGGGCTAGTCGTCAGTTGAACGTCGCTGATGCCTAAACACGGCACCTTAAGTACAGCCATGATGCAAATAGGTTAAGTATACAATCTTTCAGAAATACATGTCTACGGTAGGGGAAAAGATATCTTGCTATAAAGGAATTGAGAAGCAGTAATAGAAAAAAGAGTACACTCCTTGATAAAACAATATGGCAGAGCCCATATTTAATGCAAATTTCCAATTTCGATTTATATCAAAATTTCATTAAATAACGAAATAAGGTCGATATATTGATGTTTAACCTCGTAATAATCTCCTTTATTAAAATTTGGATTTTCAACTACGAATTTATGCACGATTTTATCATTGACGACAAAAGGTTATCTAACATTACTTCTCCAAAACAAAACAGTTTCTATTTTGGATAACAAGTGACGTGTTGTTGTCAAGGATATATAATATATGCATTTAAAAATAGTCTATTGTTATCACAAAGCAATGTCGTTCGCATTATCCATTAAAACTATTATATTCACTTAATTATGAACTTTTATTGTATCAGCAACACTATAAAAATAACAATATGATAGAACAATAAATATAAACAATGAGCTGTTGTTTTAAAACAAAATATTTTTCTATTACATGATTTGATCAAAAACTAAATTCCTTAATTAAACAAAATTTTTATTCATTGCATCATTTCGAATACGTTATATGCTCATACATCGTGCAAAAAATTAATCTATTTCGTTATAATCGTAAAATCGATTTTGAAAAATTTAAGCCATATTTTTTTCACACGATAATATAAACAAGACAATATCCAAAAACTCTTCAAATTATTTTATATTTAATTAAAACATTTGTAAACTTTATTTTATACGATAACTTTTAAGTAACTACTAATAATTTTGATTAATTATTAGTATAAAGAATTGATTCAAAAGTAAATTTAATTATTTACTACTGCTACATAGTGATAGATAAAAAATATTGAGGATTCATTTGAGGACAATTTCTTTTTTTAAATGATTAATAAAAATAGTACAAAATAAATTAATTATTATAAAAATAATGATAATATATTTTTTTAAAGAATAAAGACAAATATTTATATTATATTATATTTATATTATACCGATTTAATCTACTTCAAAAGAAGATAGGTTAAATAATAATTTAATTAAAAAATAATTCGTGAAGAAATTTGAATTGTGATTATTACCTACGCTTACTGACACAAATTAAAAAACGCAATAATTTATTTGCAAAATTTTGTACACTCTTTAAAATTAAATTAAAAGGATGAAGAGAACATTTAATACATCAATAAACAATAAGTTTCTAAGCCTATTCTCAATTCAATTGTATGTATCTCGTTAGACAAAGGATATACAAAAATCTACAAATCACAATAAACAATAGATTTTCCACAAACATCTTGTATAAAATTTATTTTTTAATTTTATTCCATGTATCTCGAAAGGCAAAGAATATACAATAATTTACAAATTACTATCTTGTTCCTTAACTTTAGCTAGTAAGTATATGCAGATAGTAAACACAATCAAAATTTTATTCATTTTCCCGCCAATTTTCGTTACACCAACATAGACGTACACGTAATTTAAAAATTAATTGTAACATTTCTTATTCTCTTTTTATTGATTTAAATATAAAATCTGTCAATCATTCAACAATACATAGAAAAATAAATAACACCATAAATTAAGAAATAAAATATCTAGCAACCTTCGCGTACATCGTTAGCCATGCTCGAATTTACTAGTGAAGAAACTCGCAGTTTCGCTTCGAAGGTCAAACGCAGCCTCCCTACCAACTAGTCGATAACCTGTCCCCCACTACAGACCAGACATTCGAATTATTCTATACGAAAACAGCTCCCCTTTAAGCTCCTTATTTCTCCGACGAGTCATATATTGCAATAAAAAGGAACAGGAAGAAAAATAGAACATTTATAGTTCTTTCACTCACAACGACTAATTTATTATTAAAATAAATTTAAAATTAAATTAAATAACATAATTATTTAAGTAACATCTTGTCCTTAAGTTTTTCCATTGATTTCATATAGGCTACTGATTTCTTCTAGCAATTTAATTTACTGGATTGCTTAATATTTTGTAAGAAAAATATTTTTAAAAACTTTCTAGATTGCGAATCCTGATGATTGACTGTATCGGATACACTAAACATTTTTATGTAAAAGAAAATATCTCGATAAAATATCCAAAAGGGTTTCTAATAATAAATTGAAGATATAGTAAATGTAACAGTCAATACAGAATAATTATTAAGCAAACTTTATACAGGGTGTCTTTTTTACTTTAAGCGCGCGTAATATCTCTGTTATTTCTGATGATACAAAAAGATGTGCATCATAAGAAAGTGTACAGTTCCGTTCAAAAATAGACAAAAATATGCAGTTCTATTTAAACCTGGACAAAAATATACAGTTCCATTTAAAAATGGACGAAAATATACAATTCTGTTTAAAAAATTGTTAACGACCTTTAAATGACCTTAAAAAAAAAATTTTGTCCTACTGTTATATTCGCTTCATAAGATTATGCAACATCTCACTTAGTCCTTTCTTTTTTTACCATCAGAAATAACAGAGATATTATGTATGTTCAAGATAAAAAGGAAACCCTGTATATAATATTTTGAAACGACAAAATAACTGGTAAATTAGAATGAAATGTCAATTATTATTTTGCTTATTTTAGCATCTATATAACAACAAATGCTTTACAAGTAATGCTGCGTTTCCATACACACATACGCGCGCGCGCGCGCACGCGCAGGCACACACCACTCAACACAAGCCATTCTGTGGCGAGGTCGTTAGCCACAACAATGTGCACCCCGAATTCAGGAATAGAGTTTTGTCGAGGGTAGTCTAGCCACAAGGGGTGTTCGAATGGCTCAAGTTCAAGGATGCATCGGTCAATAAACCCAGACGAAATATGGAGGGGGGAGAAAAGAAAAAGTCCCGGAAAAATGAGCAAAAAAGAGAAAAAGAAAGAAGATTCGACAGACTAAGTGATTCTTTTGAAGTGAAAGAGGAAACGATACTAATTATGCGAATCCTAGATATATTGTATTGTAAAATTAATTCATATTAATTAATCATTGTATACTTATTTTATTTGCAATAAAATTATACAATTTTTTAGGCTTTATACAAATTCCGAATATGTTAAAATACATTTAATATAATTTTAGTCTGATGCGAGTGTAGTTCATCTTTATGAGATTTATGAAAACTCACGCCTCGTTATAGTATAGGGAGTTAATATACTATGGATGTTGATGCATAACAGACTATGATATAAAATGTATTTTCTTTTTTCTTTCTTGCATCAAATACGTAAAATAATGGGTTCTAAATAAAATCTTTGTGTCGTTAAAAGATTCCAAAAATAAAATATTTACTGTGTATATTTTGCATAATGCATATGGCTTTTGTATATTTTATACAAAAATTAATATAAAATTGTTCGAATATTTTATTTTCTTGTATAGTTCACATATATTTTATATTTATTTCATACAGGGTGTCTAAGTTGAAGTAAATCGCCTAAATATCTCCTCTACTTTTAATCACTCGAAAATCGTTTATAATATAATTTCATTGGCTTGGAAAAAGGTATACCATGAGAAGACAATTTTTTATATAGGAGGGGATAAATTAAATTAAATTAAAGCAAATTAATATATTTAAATATGTCTGAAGCGTTATCTATAATTGATCTTGAACGTTAAAAATGTGATGAAATAGCACAATAATGCAAGAAGTGTATATAAATGTATTGTTTATGTTACAAATGCTCAAAGCGATGTGAGTGTTGTTAAAAGTATTGTAAAATAATTTTTTTTTAATAATAATCGTAAGTTTCACAAGAAATCTAGATTTTAATATTTTCAAATAAGCTTATCACAAATGCACATTTATGTCTTTTATGTTCAAAATTACATAACATTTACTGATGCTATAGTTATTTTTTTCAACTTCTAATCAATCCAAAATCAACTACTCTCATTGTAATTTGTATTTTATTATGAATTAATTTTTTATAATACTTATATTAATAGGTGTGATGAAATATATAGTATGAATTTAAAGTATTTATTATATATTTTTAATATTACATATTCATTTTCCTCTTTATAAAATCCTAATTGTAAAAATATGTAAATATTTTAAACCTTGACTACATTTAAATATCACATTAATTGGAGCTATATTCGCATAGCTACTTTTTCTTTATTTTACCCAACCCTTTTTCTATTTCCTACATTATCAACTGAGCATAAAATGAAGTTAAAGCCACAAATGATAGATATATAATAGATATACCATCTAACAGATTTTTAATTTCAATGTTCTGACATTAAGAATAATAAATTTATATTTTGAATAAAAGTAAACTTTTATTTCGCAGTTTCCTAAAAACAATATTTTTAAAATTCTAAAAAAAATTATTACATTATCTGACGTTTATTCGACAACTAGGAATATTCTAATGCATAAATTATTTTGAAATCGGTAATAAAATATGCCACTAAAAATTTAGAGAGAAAAATTCACAAAAAACATCTTTTTTTAACTCCTAATTGCACATGAGCCCACAATTTACTATAAAAATGTTTTGACAAAGGTTGTTACGAAAGGAAATATCATATGGTACATATTATTTTTTTTATATTTCAAGTGATGATGACAATTTCAAAAACCAAATTCATTTTTCTAAACAAAGCTATTATATATGATTTCATTTAAAAAAAAATATAAATTTAACTTTGAAATTTCTTCTACCACTTGTGTTAATAATATGCATCATATGATACCCCCATTCAGACTAAACAACTATTACAGTTGTAAAATATTCCACTGTTTTCAGTTCAAGGAAACGCCCTGTAGATAAATTGAAGTAAAAATATATACGCCATTGATATTATGCTGTATTACAATATACTTGCATCAAAAATAAAAAAAACTTGTAAGATAACCTATCTTTCGGAAGAAAATAAAGATTAATAAGAACATGGCTTCAAATAATTTGGATTATTTTTAATATTACTCAGTTTGAAAGTACATATTATCCTTAATAATAAATGGACTAATATAAATTTTTTAGATTAAGTTAAAAAATTAAAAAAAAAATAGAATAAGAATGATAAAGGATGAAATTTCGATTAGTGCACAATGCATTATAACACGTACAAAATTTATTTGAAATACCATATCTTGGTCACAACTATTTGATTATCAGATATAATGGTGAACATGCATGAAGGTATAATAAATAATGTATTAATAAATTATTCATAATTCTCAATACATTTGTTCAACTACTTTTTAGAATAAAAAGATATTGTACCATAAATTCATAATACAACTGTTAAATATGTTTATAAATATGTACTTACCAGCAGGACAAAATCGACTTTCTGGTCCACCAAATATTGCTAAATTTCTTCTTACCGGTATGGTATCATCAGCCAAGGTAAGATGTGGAGGTTGATCAGCTTCATGATTTGTACCAGTAAGTGCCACTGAAGATAGTAAATCAAAGGACACTTCATTATCCGGTTTTGGATATTCTATTGGAGTACATTCAGATGCAGATTTTAACTTTTTATAATCTGGACCTATAAGGATTATCATTAGTAATATATGAATTTGTATCTTATCATTTAACTCTTTTATGAGTTATTTTACCTCCATGAGATAAAGTCCACGGTTCCCTTCCACCAATTAACATTGAAAATCCAGAATATAATATTCCACCATAAACACCAAATCTTGAATGAAAACTTGGCCTCATATTTCTTACAGCTTTCAATTCTTTATAAATCCAACTGTTCTGTATTTTTTCAGTATAAGTTTTTGGTTCTAGACCTTTTGTTGGTGAAGGATTATTTTCTGCATCAATTATAGCTTCAATTGCACTTTCTGCTGCAAGCATTCCACTTTTCATAGCATTATGTGTTCCTTTAATTTTAGGTACATTAAGAAATCCTGCTGTACAACCAATAAGGCAACCACCAGGGAATTGAAGTTTAGGAATAGATTGATAGCCTCCTTCCACCAATGCTCTTGCACCATATGCAATTCTAAAACGACAAGTTTAAATCCAAATATCTACTGCTACAAATTTACTTTCAGTAAATTGTTAACAAAAAATAACCAAGTTTTACCTCTTTCCTCCTTCAAGTACTGGCCTAATACTTGGGTGTTGCTTAAATTTTTGAAATTCCTTAAATGGATGTAAATAAGGATTAGAATAGTCTAAACCAATAACAAAACCAATAGCAATAAGAGGTGTATCTTCATTAAGATGATATAAAAACGAACCACCATAATTATCTTTTCTTAATGGCCAGCCAAAAGTATGTTCAACAGCACCAGGTCTATGTTTCTTTGGATCAATTTCCCAAATCTAAAAACATTAATTCCTATGTTATATTTTTCAAACTATATTAAAATACCCTATACAAAAATAGAAAATTTATATCGAATGATAATTACCTCTTTTAACCCTATACCATAAGTCTGTGGTTCACAGTCTTTTCTAAGATTTAATTTCTTTGAAACTTGTTTTGTAAGATGACCATGACAACCTTCTGCAAAAATTGTACATTTTGCATGCAGTTCCATTCCACGTTCAAAATTATCCTTCGGTGAACCATCTTTAGCAATACCGACATCATTTGTAGCTACTCCTTTAACAGACCCATCCTTGTGATAAAGTACTTCTGCTGCAGCATATCCAGGATATAATTCTACTCCTACAGCTTCAGCTTGCTCTCCAAGCCAGGTTACAACATGGCCTAATCTAAAATAAATAATTAGAAGAAGAATATCTTAAAAATTATCATGAGTACCTTCATATTATAGTTTATTACCTAACTATATAATTTCCATGATTGTACATTGGCATTCCTTTTACAATGGGTAATGATAATCTGCCTTTTTCAGTGAGAAATGCAAACTTATCTTCTGTAACAGGAGTATTCAATGGTGCACCTAATTCCTTCCAATTTGGAAATAATTCATTTAAAGCTATTGGATCTAAACAAGCTCCACTAAGAATGTGACCACCAATAGTAGAAGCTTTTTCAACAACTGTAACTCTCAATTCTTTTCCATGTTTCTCTGCTAATTTACGGGCTTGAATTGCAGCAGATAATCCAGCTGGACCACCACCCACAATTAAGATATCAGTCTCATCTACATATCTCTCCATATTTACATCTGCAAACCATATTTAATATTTTAACTGTACATGTAATAATATATATATTAATAAATAATTTTCATTTAATAATTATAAATCATATACCTTTCCATCTTGAATCTGATTCCCTGGGTATAACCGTGTAATGAGTTGTAATTTTTGGAAACTTCTCTTGTGAATAGGTTCTTTGAAACATCCATTGGAACCTCTGTACTGCCAAGAAGTATAATTAAAATAAAACATTAATAAGATTTGATAAAATTTTTTGTATGTCTTAATTAATATTAATCATTTATATATGTTATCATTTCTTAATATTTTATAAAAAGTACTGTTAGGGTGACTATAATCAAGTTCATATGTGTGTTTACAATTTATAAGAAATATATATGTATATATTATGCATATACAGTGTATGCATACAAATGTAAATAAATATACACAAATGCACACATGCATATATATGTTCACATTATATAAATTAATCATTCAGTATTGTAGGTGGATATTAAATGTTTATGCATAGAAAAAAAAGTGTAAGATCTTATACATACCTTCCTTGCCGCATGTAGTTAGACAAAATATAGATTATATTTCAGAATCAAAGTCAGAATCAAAAAACAAACAAACTTAACCTAAGAGTAAAAATCTAAAGAAAATTTCTAATTGTCATAATGTAATTTCTACTTGTAAGTTTACATACTTTATTATACAATGTATTTTACCATAAAAAAATGCAATTAATATACAAAACAAAACTGTATTTTTATATAGATATATGTCGTATGACATATAATATACATCGTACGCACACGTATCTATATATGACATATATTGTAGGTGTAAGGTTCAATAATAATGTATAGTAATAATATACATATTTTTATATAATTCTAAATACAGTTAAATTAAATTTTTTTAATTTTACAGAAGTTTATTACCGTAATAATGTTTTTTCTAATAACATAACAAATATATACTTTATATCAGTCATAAAGGACTTTAATATAAACTTTCCGAATTCATAACTGTCCATTTAACTTATCAAGAGATTATACAAAAAGTATTACGTTAGTAACAATCATATCTATGACTTGTTTATTTCTTAAAGTTAACGTGATATTTAGACTCAAATAATTGTCTACTGTCTAATTAAGAAAATGTGTGAATTTATTAACAATTAAATATGTCAATGAGTTTGTTACAAAATTAAAACTTTAAAAGAATATTATCAAACAGATGTGCAAATTGTATCGTACATGAAATTAATATTATCAATGAACTTACGACTATTTGATGTATTAAATATTACTCGAGACATGATTACACATCACAATAAATAGACTATGATCTCGATAATACTAGTACACGATTTTATTACGGTAACGACGACTAAGTGTTGCTATAAGTGCATACCAAAATCAACTGCTAGAATCACAAACAAGATATAGGATAGACTTATCACCTTATGGGACTTTGTGTCCATGTTCTGAAATATCGATCGGACAAGAAAGTCATAGGATTTATTGTGCTCTCTACGTCTTAGAACGGTGAATTTAGGAATTATATTCAATCCAACAATTAATGTTGATAAAATCAAGAAATATAGGAAGATCTTTTTTTAATCTTCTAATGATAACTAAAACTTTTGAAGATTACTAACAACAGCTAAATAAGAGTAAGAGATGAAATAAAAATTATCTTTGTATTTTTTACTAAAATAAAATGAAAATATCATCAATTTCTGTATTTTTTTTAAAGAAAATAACTTTATGTACATATTATACACATAACCACATATTCTTACACATATATTGTTAAAATATCATTATATATTGTATTGCTTTTGAAATATAGATTTTCTGAAGATGTAATGGAAAATATAAGCATTTATTACTTTATTTTTATACGAGCTTAATATTGTTATTAATATTGGATTAAGTACTAAACTACCAGTAGTCGATTAAGTAACCGATTGAGAGGAAATTAGGTAGAGAGGAAGTAGTAGAGAACAAATCTAAATATTAAAAATTTTAGCGTCAAGAATTTAATAGTTTCTGAGATAATATTAAAGAAATTTTTAGTACTATACTTAAAATTTTAATTTCATGTACATGTCCGAAGTAGTGTATGCGTTAATCTCTTACGGTTTTTTAGCTATTGTATCTAGAAAAATATACCGACGGCCAGGAATCAATAATATAACAGCCGAACGAGATGAAAAAATATCGTCATTAAAATAGATATAAATTTTGGTGAAATTTAAAACATGTTGTAACACGGTTAAATTTATAGTCATATGTTTAGAACAAAGAAGAATTTTTAAAAAGCTTAAAACATGAAAAATTAAATATTTTTTCAATTAAATATCTTGTTTTAATTTAAAAAAGATAAAGGCTTATGGTAAAACGTATGTGTAATTAATAAAAGAACATATTTGAACTTGTAAAAATAGACAAATTTATAAAAGCAGAGGAAATAACTATTATTTCAGCAATCATTAATTTTAAGAATGATTAATACTATATCAATTAAATATTTTTCTTTTATAATAAATACATACAAATGTTCACTACAATTTTTCAATTAAATATATTTACAATTTATGTATAAAATTTATTATATCTATATAAACTAGTATTAATAAAAAAATTGTTTATTACGAATGATTGAATAATACATTGCTAATTAAAATAATTAGAAATACACTTGATTTATTAATATAAACATAAAAATATTAAGAAGGAAACAAATATTTTGTATTTATATAAGAATTATATGAAAAATATATTATATATGTAGGAATGTTGGGTAGGCAGCAGAAGAAACAGTAATGCAAATATAAAAATGATTTATTCTAAACTCAAAAATTTTTTAACTGCATTATTGTCAGAATTACCAATATGTTAACCTAAGTACATACATAATAATAATTAAAATAATATAATGGAAGTAAATAAAATAAAAATAATAAAATATAAGTATAGCATATTAATGAAAATAAATATATGTAATAATTATGGTTTATACTTCAATAATAGCTATTATTAACTTTATTAAAATGTTTTCAGTAATTAGAAGAATTTTGAAATTAATCATTTTAATCAGTTTAATAATTTTAGTATTAAAGAATATTTTTATAAATATTGTTAATTATTGACTATTAATTTAAAATTGTTAAAAATTTATTCATTTGTAACACACTACCTTAACATGTGTTCAACATCATTTTTTATACTAAACATATATTAAATAAAGAAAAAACTAAAAAGTAATTTGTTTATCTTCGTAAGTTCAACATTATGAAGCTACAATTTATGTATCCATCCATTATTCCATTAACTGTTGTTTTCTATAGTTACATCATTTCTATTGTGTATCATTTACAGAATTGTAAAAGTTCACATTAGGAATGTTAATTACAGAAGCATGTGATTTAAGAAAGAATATGAGTTAAATAACAATATACAGGATTTACGGAAATACATCATATAACCTTTTACATTGTAACTAGTTAAAACTAACCTTTTACATAGAATTAGTTAAATCGTAATTCATATTACAAATATAATTTAATGTCATGAAAGACGGGGTTAACATAGATGTTATTTATAAACTTGATACTAAAGTTTAAAATTAAATATATTAATTTAATAATTATACTTTTATTTAAATAGAAGTAAGAAATGACATTTTCTTATGTTTTATTTATATTATTTAATTATTCGTTATCTTTAATTCTCTTGAAAGTTATAAGTTATCTTACTGAAGTCAAGGTTTTAAATATCTTTAATATGAAGTAGCAATAATATTATGTCACAGCTACTAATAAATTTTAAATTATTGATGAGTACATGAAATAAAAGGAAAATAAAAAGAATTTATTAAAAGCTGCACCCTGCATTTTCATTTATATAACTACTAAATAAACACTAGCTTATACTGAAAAGAATCATCATTATCGATACAGTTTGTTAAAATTTAACAATAATTACACACAGCACTCTAAGTACAAACCTAAATCTCCACCCTATGTCTATATAAGTTTTATATAAAATATAAGTGTACTATAAAAATATCATGAATTAAATAATATTAATAAACATATATATGTATACATATAATATACAATTACCAAAGTTATGAAATAAAAAAGAAATTACAATGATTTAAAAAAAAAATAGTTTATAGTATAGGTATAATTAATATAATTCTTCTTTTAACAAATTAACAAATATGTAATGCAATGTATCTCTTTAATTCAGTGTTTTACAATGTATAATAAATATGCAGAATACTGAGTATCAAAGATAAAATGTGTTTTGAAAATAGTAAATTTAAAAATACACTGAGAAAGAATAACTTTAACACATTTAAATCTGTAGAATATTAAATTAAATATAATATATTTAAGTTTACACAACATACAATATCACTCATAAAGATAAGAAAGTGTAATGTAAAATTGAAGGAAAAAAAAAAAAACATTCAAAAACATTAAGATAGTACGTCTATAATCTGTTGTAAATTATATTTCTTTAACATTGCTTGATTTGTTATTTGCCCAACTTCATTAAGGAATTCAATAATTCCAATATTGATAATGTTATTGAAATCGTTAAGAATTATTTTACTTCTGTTCAAGGATTCTTTCAATTTACATTCATGGTTACTGCATAAAGTAGGTACAACACTTAAACATGTAACTAGATTAACAATGCTTTGTACGTAGCGCAGTTTGATTCGAGATGCGCCAAAAATATCTAAGGTATTTAGAAGATCGTACATTTTAAATTAACATTCGATGTAGACATACAGATCTACAGAACGTCTTCTCTGAATGAATCTAGTCAACTATAAATTGAATAATATTGGCCGATAAATTGAACAATATTGACCAACAGAAAGCAAGTTAGAAATTCAAAGATAAATTACTACTCGTTATAGAGATGAGGATCTCATTAAAAATTAAGAAATTAAACTTGAAAAACGCTTACTGGGAAATCAGTTTGGAACTACATTTGTAGAAAAGGAAGATATCTCACCACTCTTTTCAAATTTAATAGACATATTGAACTATCAAATTTTTAATGTCCCTCATTTAGGAACACTCAGCTTCAACTCAAGGACAAATACAACTTTAATAACAAGTACAATTTCAAAAATACAAAATTTACGGCCAGCAGACAATCCAACCTGTACAGCTATATCAAACCAGGATACCAAAAAACTTTCTATTATCATCGTAATATCTTAACATCATAGCAAACTATAACTGTATTTGAGGCTTGGGAGAGAGTCTATCTAAAGGCTTCTTTTAAGAAATTCTTCTTCAACTACTCCCAAGTCATAATTGAATCTTTACTAATGGAACGTACACTGCCGCTAAACACTCACAGCCGCCACGAGATTAACCTGAAAGAACTAAATAAAGAATAGATATTCATACTATCAGTAATAGTTGATTTATATTAAAACTTTTCCCTAGAACAAAAACGTTTAATAGACTCATTCTTTATCCTTCTCTGCAATTACAAGACAACTCCTGATATAACAACTTGCAGTGATAGCATGGTGGACAGTGTGATAAAACAGTAAACTTATTCAATCATCAATCACCCTATTCAACAAAGTTGCTGACAGGATAAATACAGGTCACTAAAATAATCACATCAAACATTAATAATCAACAAAATAGGAAACCTCCTGTCTTTCACCCTAGAATGGAAACACCTAATACACTAACTCTATAAATTGTTTATTTCTATCATAGGAAGTATAAAATAAAGTATAAAGTATAAACCCTAAACTCAACAAAGTCGTTTCCCTTTTTTGTTCATATAGAGAGAATAAATTTTTGACAGAATTTATTAAACCATTTAAAACCCTAAAAATAGAGTACTTCATTAAAATTTATAACAAAGATTTTGAGATCTAGTTTGCAAAAGTAAGCAATCCAGATAACTGGAATCCCATTGTATACATTTCGTAACTTAAGTACTGTGCAACTTTGTGCTCTATTGTTGTTAGAACATCTTCCCTAATAGTATTCTCTTATTTGATAATTTAGAAACAATTTCATTTTCATAAAATTATAAATCTCCAAAATGTGCATGTGCTATACAAATATTTATATAGTGTATTTGTGTATATATACAGAGTATTTCATAAGATATGGTTTAGATAACATGTTGACTTCTATATTTTAATAAATAAACCAATAATTAATGTTTTCAATAGACTATTGAATGTCAACTTTTAATTAATGATACTTAAAAAATACACACATCTATTGTAATATTAAGTTTTTTTAGTATTAATATTTCATCTTACATATTTATGTTCAATACGATGAAAATGATTAATATTGTGATCTAAGATGACATTTATATTTTTGGTATAAAATCACAAAGAAGAGTA